CCCATATCAGTATAGGAGGGGAAAGGGGGTGAGGTGAGAAGTTCTTACACTATTGAAGACGAAATTCAAAGTAGTCTATTTTCATGAGCGAATGGTCACTCGCTGATTGTTGGTCTGCCCCTCCCCTTACCCTGTAGGCGCCTAATCAACCGTGAGAACTCAGTAAACAAAAAACTATACCGATCACGAAATCGTTCTCTTCATTGCTATGCAAGGAGGTCAGGTGGCCGCCTTCTGATACACAGATTTCTTCAGCGTTATCGAATGTGGCCCAGAAGAATCTCTGAAATGCTCAGTATACAACCTGTACACAACTGTACCTTTGTAGCCCATCTCATTTTTCGAAATTGCTTAAAGAAATATTCGGCGTTTTTCGACTTGGAAGGGACATGTTCGACTTATGTTGAATTCTTCTGTTAGTTCCTGGGAGCCACACGTCTCACCTTCGTCAAAGTAGACTTTTCTCAATTGTAAAGGAAGCTCGTGCTGGACAGCCTACCAGGGATTAACAGGGCTCCACAGGATGCCTAGTGAATGGATGGAAGTCAGCAAAATGCCCCCACCCCCCACCAAGCCGAGCTGCACCGAATAATCTGTTATCATGCGTTAGCTCTTCTGATTCTAACTTGGAATTGTCCAGAAGCTTCTTTAGAAACTTCTGTCGGCACACATACATATCACAGCGGCACCCACAATCAAAGGCAATAGGTGCTTTGGCGAGGAGGCGGACCAGCTTTTCAAGCGGCCGATAGCCTCTCCCCCCTCCCCCATGGGCTAGGAAATGTGGTCCAATGCCGTTACAGCCCTAACGCTCGAAATACTTCCCCTCCTCCTAGCCGGCGTACCCTCCAAAAAATAATCTATGACTTACACGATAACAGGAATCCGTGCCTTCAAAATACGTCCATTCAGATTCGCAGTGACCTGGCTGGCCTGAAAAGTTCTGTGCAGACTTGAGACGCCTTACCTACTTTGCCATGATTTCAAGAACCTTCGCTCAAGTGCGTATGCCGTTCCCAACAAAAGAGCGGAAACAGATCGTATGTACATTCATGATCCCTGAAAACGATAGGGCCCCCTGGCACTGCTTCGATCCTCACGGCGGCACACACCCCATCGTTTCCATGGATCGCAAGCGTACAGACGTTTGCTTGTTTAAGAATGACAACAGATGAAATTCTCACGTGGAGGTGGTGGACAGGTAGGCGTTGCACATGTTGGGCAGGTTACGGCTGGATGGGCATCCTCGGCTATGGCGCAGATGAATGGAGCCGGATTGGAACAAGAGACCGACGTCCAAGAACCATCTGGAGCTTTCGACACTGCGCATGTAGCTGACGCGCTTGGTTGGCCTGCATGTAGAAATCAATTAAAACAAAAGCGGGCAGAATTGTTAGGCTAAAGAGATGCTGAAAGCCCTTATAGTATAAGTGTCACCCACTGCGGCTTTTCCACTAATGGCCTCTCTCCCTCTCACTAGTAGCGAGGGCGCCATGGTCGGAAAAGCTCCCCATAGGATCGGTGTGGAAGGCCTCCTTAGAGCTCCCCATGAACTTTATTACGAATGTACCTGGATTCCAGTTTGTGTACGTATACGATGATCCGTCTGAGTTGCTCCAATTTCCTTGCAATTTGTTCATTCCAACGAAAAATGGTGATCTTATGTTCTGTGCCACAGCCGACTCTAAACATTTTAATCGTGATTTATGAGCCGGAATTTTTGAACTATTAATTTTTTAGTCGAAATATCTAAAACATTAATGGCGTGACTCGTAAGACAACATTCTATAACTGATGAAGCGATAGTAAGACTGCAGACGCCATAAACACTATGCTTCCTTATTACATGATCTTCCCAAATACCTTCTTCCACGACTGATTCGACGGCCGAACCATCGGACGGGGTTTGCCGTGGAGGAACTCCTGCAAATACGAACGCTCCTCCCATCCGCCGTCAGAACCTCCTCCACTGTACACGCCTTTTTTCATCCTGCTTAAGCATCTTCCTAATGCTTCCTCTCATTTCCACCACTCTCGCCTGGCTCTCGTTTTCTTTCTGCCCAAAAAAACTGCCATCGAAGGGGAGCGGGGGCAGGGAGGCAGGGAGTATGCGCCACCAAACAACTTCTAATTTCGACCATCGGAAATACTAGGCGTCAAATGTTGAAAGTTTTGTGCTACGACGGATGTGTAGCGCACTTGAAATAGGAAAATCCGAGGAAATTCTACAGCCAAAACCGAGACATTTTTCTCGAATGCAAATATGACCCACCCCCTTGGTGGGGATGACATCATAATACGACGTGCTCTGATTCTTCTCAATATGACGAGATGGAGGGGCGCAGCTGTTATGAGTCTCCGCCCATAGATTTATCGTGGATATATCCTAGTCATTCTGAATGCTCACCAGCTAACATTGCGTTCTCGAAGCCGTTCATAACCGACACTACGTGGCCTTTGTTGGAGACACAGGCATCCTCGGCCAGTCCAAATGGTTGCGGCTCCGATACAAACAGGTAGCATCTGAAACTGCGTATCATCAAAAGGAGGTCAAAAGCTATCAAGGGCGACTGCTCCCACTTTTGTGGACCCCACTGAATCCATCTAAGCGCCAACTACGTACAAAAACTTTCTTCAACACTGCAATTCGAGTTTACACTCAGAGGTCTCAAGCGTCAAGGTCCGTGAGAACCCTAGGCATAAAGCTCTAAATTGTTTTGCTTGATTTGAGGGGAGGAGTTTTATTCGTTTTTGCATGACTAAAATTTCATCTAATGAACGAATCACCTGTTAAAATCCGGATGATAGGTGGTTCCAATAGGGCAGTCAGCAATCGCGAAAGGCAGCAGCGCTAACAGAAGCGCAAACATCGCTGCCAATGGTTTTCAGCTTATCGCACTTCCATTCATGGTTCTACGCGTACGATAAGCAGCGAATGTCTGCGAATAGTTGCGTTGATTTGGCGAGTCGATTAGGGACCGAAAAGCTCTTGGGACTTCTGAAGAAGCCTACTGGTTCCTTACGGATTTATTTTATTTATATACCATGCGCGTGAGATGGTCGAGGAGGTCGCCTACTATGCAGCCGTTAATTCATACTTCTCGGTCCTGTTGCTGCTGTAGTGTCCTACGGAGCTCAGAACTTTCCGAGATATACGGGGGGCTAAAAAGTCACTTTTCTTCGTCGACTTTCGGAGCGCTATAAAGTTACACCTTTTTATTAAAATTCTTGATCGGACATCTTCCCCACACCAATGCTTAAAAGAGATATTAAATACTATCAAATGACACTCCGCCACAGCCTTCTGGACGAGCTCTGGACGAGCGCCATCGAGAGATTCTGGCCGCGATGTGGTGCCTGAGATCAGCGAGATAGTCGATTTCTCCGCCACCGTAGACCACCCTATTGAACTCCGCCCGAACCGGGTAATTGAGGGGATTCAGGTCAGGTGACCTACTTGGATATTCCATCTTCTTTAGGTACTCAGCCCCCTTCCATTCCAAGTAGGCGAGTGTTTCTCCAACGCCCTTCGATTTCATGTGGTGGCACTCAATGCTGTAGCAGTACAAAGTTTCCAAGAAGGTACGGGCGACCACATGTGAGGAGGATATTCTTCACGAGTTGCCCAATGTAATCGCCAGCGCCCTGGTAGTCATACCCACGTCCTCTGTCTGGGCAGCGAAAACTTTGCTGATATGTGACTCGGTCGAAGTGACTTTTTTTGGCCCCCCCTGTATATTTCCCCTTCCCATTTCTGCCACACCCACACTATCTTGACGGCAGTTTCCCTCTGGGGAGGAGGAGGTGGTGGGGAAGGGAAGCTGTAAGAAGTTAAGAAATTCAGGAAGATGATAGGATGGCGGTTTAGTCCAGCGGGAAACCTTCAAGGGGATCACATCTCGCAATTTTTTCCCAGCGTCAGGTCGTTCCCTGAGTTCAGCACATACACGTTAGTTGCAGCGATAGAGAAGCGTCACAACTCACGCAGCACCAGCTCACTTTCCATCGATCGCTGTGTCTTCGGGCCCCGAGTGGATACTAGCGTTGCAATAAACCCTTGCCTCGCTGACACGCCCAGACTAAAATCACTGATAACGACTGTACATTCCTTGCTCGGGATTTATTGCATAATATCTTTGTTAGGATGTTTCAGCTTTATTTACAAAAATCATAATCAGCGATATTCATATATTCTATAAGAGTGCAACAATAGGGGAGATACACTTCAATAACATGCACAACAATAACAACACTTGCTTAGAAACATCGCTAGGAGGACTGAATTCTTAATTACTGTAACATCTTAACTAAGCGTTAGTTTCCGCTTTGGAAGAGCTTGCGGGTATGACTCCAACCGTAGTAATATTTCTTGATTTAATCCTCAGACTTTGAAGAATAAAGTTTCTGTAGTCCTTCATGAATGCCATTATAACAACCGGACTAGAAATCGGGTACAAAGCGATCGAAACCGAAATGATACCGGTGGTAAAACTTGTAGTGCTGATACCAGCGAATAGCAGAAGCACAGAAAACAACCATGGCACTTGAAGAAAGAAAAGAGGGCATGCTGACTGAAAAGTACTTGAGTGAGAGGAAGAAGTTCTGACGCTCCTTGTACATTTCTGAGAGCTAGAAAAGTCAGTGTAGACCTAACTCTCAACTCCATTTCAAGACTGACTGTTCACTCAAGTCCACCGATCCTGGTCTTCGCCGCCGTGAGTGTGGAGAATGGGTCCGCAACTGCAGTAAGTTCCCATATAATCGAGTATCCCTAGACCGATACGTAATAACAGCACTCGTACGCCCCTGAGCGACGTTAAGTTTACCGAGAGGAAGAAAGTGGGTACTACTTGACAGACTCACACAGAAGAAACCAAGCATTCCACTATCAAACAAATAGCTCCAGATCCACATAGGTGACAGAGTACACTTTATTCAAGTAAGTTATAGAGTCATTGCAATGGTAGAGTGCTCTCATTCGCGACTTGCGGGGGCGGCACAGACCGGCTATGCACTGTCGAACTGCGACAGCGGCTGCAGGCTCGATGACGGGGAATCATATGATTTCGATGGATTGGGCTTGCTAATTCGCAAAAATTTTTTTGCTCTTCAGTTTAATAAGATGGAACCCGCATGAGCTATATATCATAAAAGCAATTTAGAAATTGTACTGCTCTGAACTATCTTTATTTTTAATTTGAGATTAAAAGAGTGCTTCACTGTCGCTCGTTTCAGACTTTACACCTACACAATGTCTTGACAATATCAAATTATACGAATAAATACTATCAAGATATAGCAAATATGAAATAATAATAATGACTTCCAATTGAAGCTCGAAGAGTTGAAAGGTGGGAAATTGCAAGCCGAATTCCATGGAAATCAGCTGATCTCGCAAGCAACGCTACCCCCGGCCAGCGCTGTCCGCGTCAGCACTTGCGCGCGGCCTGTGCCGCCTCGACGTCCGTAATGAGAGGACTGTACATCACGTACTGAGAATACCACGACGACTCTCCCCAAAAGGGGAGCCTCACAACGAAGCCCTTTCAGAAACCTTTCACTTTTACCCCCGACACTTGTGCCCTAGCCAACTTACCCTAGTTTTTCTTAGAATGTTAGACTGGGTTGAAGAGTCAAAAATATCTCCCAACCTCTGAGAGGACGGCTCACATTCGAGTAAGGGCGCAGCTCTAACGATCTCCAGGCTACAGAACTTCAGCTCTCTTAAGCTAGCCATACACAGTTATGAACATCATAGAAACGATAGGTCGTGTGAAAGGGGAGCTGGATTGCAGCCAAAATAAACCCCCGCCATTCGCTGCGGACTCAGACGGCACCATTGAGACTCGTTTCGCACGCGCTTCGCAGATCCCACCCCTCATCGTTTGCAGTGGTCATCGACCTGGCACTGTATCTATGAGATATTGAAAATGTACGGGTTCACCTGTAAGGAGTATAAAACGAAACACTTTGTTGTTGTACGGATAAAACTGGTGCGTTGTGAGAGAAAGACTTTCAAATACGGATATAATTCTCGCTTGCAGCAGAAATATATTTACGAAGAAGCCTATTGATAAAGACCAATGGCCACCAGCAAACATTAAGCGAGCAGAACAAAGGTCGTTGGAACCATATCGACCAAGTTGTCAACTACGAATGAAGGTTATATGTAAACGGATTTGAATTAGTACAAAACGAGTATAAGATAGCATATAAGAACAAAAATATCAAAGAAACGCTATGCAAGGAAAGCGTTACAGACTACCGCGACCGACAGAACTTCGGTCGACGCGTCGACACGAGAATATACGCTGCTATAAATACTGTCACTAAGCTTTCCGGAACGCGGGGAGCAACAACGCTGACATCGCGCGTAGTCTGAACGCTGTCCTAGGTTCACCATGGTCGAGCAGCGGAAAAACCAACGGGTTTCTGGAAGCTTTCCGCTTCTCCAGTTTTATACCAGTTCCAATCTATGCCTCTGGTCATTCAGTCCTTTCCAAAAGTTAGGGGCGGTACTGTATCTTCGTCTTGGCAGTCCTAGCGCTCGCATCTCGCCATGGAGAAACGACAATGGGTCAGCATCTGAGACCACGGACTGGACGCAAATGTATCAAGCAACAAAAACTCTGGTCATTGGTTCCCGGAGAAACAGTCTCAAGGCACTTGAGGGAACGATAACATCCCCCCATTGTGACGAGTAAGTGATCAAATACCTGGCCCTGGCAGGACGGAATTTCGCTCCCCTGCAAGCGTTCCGTAGCACATTTTTCGGGAAATTACCAGCTATGATAAGGCCGCGATCGGAAGCTGGGCTGCATACCGCGACCTGGACGCCTACCGCGCCCGCCCGACCACAAATGGACGACCGTACCTGATGCTCGTATTACTTGACTTTGAAGCAAAATATGAAGTGAAGGGATTGCTATGGAGCGGTTGCGGTGCTGCATGGATATGTGAGTACATACGTGCAGCCGTATCTACCGTAGCGGTTATTGGCACGAGAAAACTCGTCCGAAATCACTCGAACATTTCGCTTCGCAGTTTTTTGACTGTTTCACGATTCGTTTTTTCTTCCGCATTTTTCCACTATACAAGCATCTGCTAGCATTTTAGACCGACTACCAAATTATCGTGCCATATGTCTTTAACCTTTCGCGACGAAACCACCCTTCGAACTTGGTGTTCAGTGTACGAAAGCCACATCTTCGGTAGAAAACGCCTCACCTTGAGTGAAAATCCAATGAATGCAGCATCTTTGATATCGACTCCAGGAATACTGACTGTTCTCATTACTAAGTGGACGAAATTCTCTTCGGGCCAAAAAACTATATACATAGCAATAACAATATTGAGTACGATAACTAAATTGACGAAACAGCCAACTGTCACAGTTTGTTTGAACGAGTATTTTTCAAAGTACATCGATCTGGAAAATTGCATTGATTGAATGGTTACATTTAGCAGCCAACCAGTATTGAATTCAAATGCAAGAATGGATCGCAGAGAACGCTGGTAATGTCTTTCCAAGCTTTCTTTTTCCATAAATTATGTTTGTTTGGTCTATGTGATCACCTTTTTTTGAATAATAACTGTTCCAAAAAGAGGAGGTGGTATGACAAGCGGCGCGCTTACCACTCGCGCGTCCAGGGTTCAAATCCCGGGTCGACTCCCGCCCAGGCCAACCAAGCCTTCTACCCTCCGGGGACGGTGAATTGGTACCAGATTCGTCTGGGAGGATAAAACACTGACTTGTACATCGGCTGGCCCCCGCAAAGGCTGACGGGGTCATTGTATAGGCCACATCGCATTCAATAAGCCACTACGATTCTGAATGGAAGTAGAATGCGTGCCGCATCCCACAAAGGGATTGATCAACGGCGAAGACTTTATCCTTATCATTTCAACTGTTCCACCGACCCTTGAGGCCATGGGAAGATCAGAACATGCAAAAAAATCCAAAAAAGCTGTATTTAGAAACGATTTGCGCGTGTTTACGTGACCATGAAAAAGTAAGTGCGCTTTACACTCGAGAAAATACAGTAATTTTTACTTACTGCCTACTGATTATTCAAATTATTCGATGTAGAACAAAACAGATCGCCACCTGCACAGCTGTAAATAGCGATAAAGAAAACTATTCGTCACGAGAAGTAGCGAAGTGAAGAACGACACGGTGAATACAGTAAGCAAAATGGATGCAACTGTCCGGTCGCTTATAATGCCGGTGTTGAAAAATATGATGTAATCGCTTCCCGAGACCACTAGCTGAAACATGTATTGTTGGTTATCAGTCGCAGGGTGGGCATGTGACAACACAATCGTAAATGCCGCGCTGGCCGTGGCTAGCGAGGGACGAGTTGTCCTGTTGGGTCGTTTGAATGCGTAAGTTGAAGGGACGAGAAATTTGCTCTGCGCAAATATTAGGTCATCCCATCCAAACTGGCCGCTGGTTTTTTTTTAATAAAGAGGAGAATAGATAGAAAAGTGATATTTTAGCTTTAGAAAGAGTAAATCCCTCCTTCACCCAAGTGACCGCCGCTCCGCGGTGCCCCGAGGGCCTTTGGACCTCTGGTACCTTCGATTTTTCAACAAGTGTGGGTAAATTGCTGTTGTTGCCAATTTCGGCGAATGACAAAACATTGTAGCGTCTGCCGTCGGAGAGTACTCTCAACTGAATAGAACAGTTGTAATCGCATGGCTTTATGACGGGCGAATGGGGCGATTGAACCCAGGTCTCAGTATTGTTTGTGTCCCAGCACTGATCTACAATACAGTTACTCGGGGTCTGGTACTATGACGAGCAACGGTGGCCTTCTTGTAGTTGTGTGGTAGCATCCATTTGTCGATCTGAATGCCGAGGAACAGGTAATACGCACCGACGACGTGAACGGATTGCGATTTCTCTGTATTAGAGTCGCCTTGAAAGCCACAGTGTGGGAATCCTTCGCTATAATGATTCATCCGCATATTATGACCCTCCGGTTGATAAAACTCGGGCGGCTTCTCATCTGCATTCATACAAAATTGACGATTGTGAGTTTTGGCTCGAGGTCCAAGACCACCCATATTTCATCTAGAGGCCGGGGTGCGTTTTCACAGTCGTGAATGATGGCGCTGCAAACTACGATTGTCTTGTCCGACTCTCCCACATCTAAATGGTTATTTCAGTGACTACGCACACTATCGTACGCGGCATACGGTAGGCCTCAGTGAACCCTAATACCTCGCCTGAATTCTGCAGGACTTACTGTGCCTGATTCTCAGGCACCATAAGTACTGTCAAAATTCTTTTTATTTTCTGTTGTACTGGAGCGGTAGCGCTTGCCCCACTCTCGCGGTGCAAAAGCAAGTGACAGGGGTGCAACACACAAAAAAGGCCCGTCAAGGAAAGTGGGCAGGAATATTGTTTTTAACAAGGAATCAGCTGGGGTCAGTTACGGCGACCATGTCGACCGCAACAGCACCGGTCCGGTATTCTCGTCCGATCATACTTTTCGCTTGCCCTTTGCTCGTATAAATGTGATCGCTAGGGATCTGGTACATTTGGGACGATTTTACTATATTTTTTTCTTGCTTAATTCGGAGCAGGAGCCGAACCGGGATCTAGCATGTGGCGCCTTTGGCATGCGCGTGGTCCGTGGTTAGATCTGAACAGCGGGGAGGGGGTGGGGGGGGGGGAGAGGTCCCGGAAGCCCAATCCTCTGTCTCCTTTGACAGGGTGCAGAAATTTCTTCATTCAGTCTAGAATAGGAAAATGCATACCGGTACTAGCAGTCCAAAAGTCGCTGAAAAGACGACATCTTCAAGAACAGTCAATAAGAAGAAATACTTGTAGGACTTGATTTTTTTCAATGGACATAGGAAGTATACGATAAGGAAGATGGCGTTGCTCAATAAAGATATCCCACAGATAATGTAGATTGTCACTGATAGGAAACCATTTTGTTTTGTGCCCATTCTGAACGAAATTAGCTATAAGGAAATGAAAATACAGAGGTGAAAATCGGCATATAGTAGGTAATATGGCGTGTGTGGCAGCTAGGGTGCAACCCTAGCAAGGTACCGAGCGATCTCAGCTACAGTATTGTTCGCTGCGAATGATGGGCGTGTCGGGGGCGGCATTGGTTTGGAGCGGCGCCAGGACATTTTTTCTGGCAAGCGACGATACTGAATTGTCGTTGGTATCGGTCGTTCTTCACCAATTGTTCTCGCTAACACACCTCAACAGGCGGTAAGGAGCGAGCTGGCAGCGCGGCAAACTCGGCCTCACTGACACACTTCATCATAGAAAGCGAGTAAGACTGTGGAGTTCACTAAACCTCCGACGTATCTGCACGAATCGAATG